GTTTGCTATTCCAAAGGAGCAGTGTTATTTTTATGTCCGTTAGTTGTACGTCCTCATTGAACTATTCATTCTAATATACCGACCGAAATTCAGTTATCCGGTCTGAAAAAAGCTTCATAGAAATTATTTAAACCATTATTTCCTTTGATGACACCCTGCAATAAAATATATATTTAAAAAAATCTGTTGTTGTCACGTCTAAAACGTAAAGCGCGTCACCATCGAAAATTTCTACCACTCCTTTTAAGAGTGATGTTTCGTACATTTTTCACTTTAGGTCTGAAAAAAAAAATAATTATTTCAGTTCACTTCAAAACTGTTGTTTTTAAAATTTTTATTTGAATTCATCATTAGCTTTCGTTTAGGAAAATTATTTTAAATATTTGTCATAACAACAGAAGGAGCACGCCAAGATCTTTTAAACTCACATTCGAAGAATAGTAAGAAATTACAAATGAAAAAAATTAGTTAATTATTTATTAAAAGAATAAACACTGAATTCAGTGATTCGAAATTTTAGACTGTTTTTGTACCTTTTTGTATACGACTAAGTCTACTATGATAGTCTAAAAGTTAACCATCATAAAAATTTTACTATAAAAGACTACTATATATATATTTTGTTATGGAGAAGAAAAACATAAAATCTAAGTTACTTTATTGTTAATTTTTCTAAAGAAATAAAAATGGACTTCAAATGCTATGTAATGTCTGATGCTTAAAGTGCCCACGGAATTTTTCAAGTAGATTAGACCAGGGATTGAATTTTTTGTTGCATTTATTCAAATACTCGATCTTGCCTAATTCGGATTTTAAATCTAAAAATTAGTTTTATTCTTAAATCTACAAAGTTTTTTCAAATGAAAAACGTTTCATAGAAATTATTCATACAAATTTCGTCTATTTTTGTCGAAATGTACGAGATTAAAGACATTATACATAACAAAGGGTAAATGTTGCAAACTTCTGTAGAGTTTTAGGCAAATCATCTTTATTAAAATTACCTAGGAATCTATGCTCCGAAATGTCGTAATACGCCGCTAAGAACGCTTCCTTATTATGACCCGTTCAGAAGTACACGAAGAAACAGTTCATAATAGGGAAGTGTTCCTAGCGGCTTATGACTGACTTTTCGGGCATGGTTTCCTAAACAATTTTAATCGAGATGATGAGTTCCAACTCCCCGAGAAGTTTATCGCAACATTTATGCAACTCCTTGTTTTATGTAACGTTTTCATAACAAAAATNAGGTTCAAACTTTGAATAGATCTTCAGACCAAACTCTTGGGGTTATATTTCCCAAATTGTGGCTGCACCTACATTTTGGGGACAAAAATCCACATCTACTGAAAAAAAAGTTATATTTATTTAGAGAAAGTACGTTTTTGTGTCTAATATCGTAACCTAAAATAGTGTCTGCATTAATTAGCATATTTGAGGACAACCCCCTCGAACCATTAGATTGAGTGCTAATACGTGAAAGTCCGATTATTAGATCAAATGTTATTTAGAGTAATTCAATTTTTATTTTATTTTATTTATTTATTTATTTTGCGCCCGCGCTGTGTGTTAAAAAAATACCTAGGTGACGGATGTCAACTTTAACATGCTTGATAATATTAAAAGCAACATTTCATGTTAAAAATAATTATTTGAGTCGTTTAAATAACGGCAAGTTGTAACGATATCCAACCTATCAGTTTTTTATTTATTCCTAATTAAATGCTTCGATTTTTTTTATTTTATTTCAATCGGATGCGATTCTGTGAATCATTAATTTACTATAATTATTAACGGTGATTCTGGTAAGTTGAATGAAATACCTCAGTTATTCCATCTGGGAGAAATTTCCTCATTAAAACGTGGGAAGTAACAAAAAGAATAAATCGTGATTGGCGGGAAGCAAAACACGTGGGTTGTACTTGGCGCGTGTCACCACTACATCACTTCAAATTGGCGATTTACTCATCATTAATCAACACGCTGATTTTTTTTCTTCCTTCTCTTGCTTATGTAAAGAAATTACAACGAGAAAACGATTTAGTTTTTTGTCAAAATAAAACCATTTTCTGCCAAAATCGAAAAAGAATAAGAAAAGTAGAGAAAAATATTAAATATTTAGAACATTACTGTAAATTTTAACTAGAAGAAAACAAACAAATGCATGCATTAAAACGTCATGTCATAGTGCGTATCTATATAAATATTTATTAAGAAATACAACTATGGCTCTATACATTTAATGCTAATATGGCCTTCTGTTACAGCCACCTTTCCATTATAACGACCAATGCATAAGTCCCGTTTGCTATTCCAAAGGAGCAGTGTTATTTTTATGTCCTTTAGTACGTCCTCGTTAAACTATTCATTCTAATATAGCAACCGAAATTCAGTCGCCGGATCAAACCGGATACTGTTTGAAAAAAGTTTCATAGAAATTATTTAAACCATTATTTCTTTAGACGACATCCCCCAATAAAATATATTAAAAAAATCTGTTGTTGTCACATCTAAAACATAAGGCGCGTCACCCCCGAAAATTTCTACCATCCCTTCTAAGAGTAATGTTTCGTGCATTTTTTACTTTAGGTTTGAAAAAAATAGGGTTATTTTTGAGTTTTCAGTCCACTTCAAAAACATTGTTTTTAAAAATTTTATTTGAATTTATCATTAGCTTTAATAAAAATTATTTTAAATATTTGAGATAACAACAGAAGGAGCACGCCAAGAAGATCTTTTAAACTTATATTTGAAGAATAGTAAGAAATTACTGAGGAAAAAAATTAGTTAATTATTTATTAAGAAAAAAATATATTAAATTCAGTGATTCAATGTGTTAGACTGCTTTTGCACCTTTTTGTATACGATTCGTTTTAGGTCTTCAACGATAGTCTGTAAGCTAACCATCATAAAAATTCTATTATTATAAAAGCACCATAGTAATTCTGATGAAGAGAAATAATATATATTTTGTTTTATGGAGAAAAAAAACATAAAACTAAGTTACTTATTAGTTACTAATTTTTCTAAAAAAAATTAAGAATGGATTTTAAATGCTATGTAATGCCTGATGCTTAGTATCCACGGAATTTTTCAAGTAGATAACACCGGGGAATTAATTTTTTTTGTTCCATTTATTTAAATACTTGATCTTTCCTAATTCGGATTTTAAATCTAAAAATTAGTTTTACTCCTGAAGCTACAAAGTCTTTTCAAGTGAAATTTTTCGCCCACTTTTTGTCGAAATGTACGAAATTAAAGACGTTATACATAACAAAGGGTAAATGTTACAAACTTCTGGGTAGTTTTGGGCACATTATCTTTATTAAAATTGCCTAGGAACCTATGCCCCGAAATGTCGTAATACGCCGCTAAGGACTCTTCCTTATTATGACCCGTTCAGAAGAACACGAAGAAACAGTTCATAATAGGGAAGTGCTCCTAACGGCTTATGACTTTTCCGGCATTGTTTCCTAAACAATTTTAATCGAGATGATGAGTTCCAACTCCCGGAAAAGTTTATCGCAACATTTATGCGACTTCTGACTTTTCGATGGAAATTCGACTGATTTTTCGATGGAAAGGACAGATGCCTCTTGAAAATTTTAAATTGCTTTAAAATGTATCTTTTTCGATGAAAAAGACAGATGCCTCTTGAAAATTTTAAATTGCTTTGAAATGTATTTTTTTCGATGAAAAAGACAGATGCCTCTTGAAAATTTTAAATTGCTTTAAAATGTATCTTTTTCGATGAAAAGGAGAGATGCCAGTGAATATTGAAATGGTCCCTATAGTAGTAAAAATAATTTCGGGTGATGAAAGGGCTTAATCAACGAAGTGGTCACAGAAAACGAGTGAGGTGGGTGAGAATGGGGCGCGCCCCACCCTAGTCGTGACTTGTGCTCTTGAGAAGGCAAAGGTTGAAGTCGACCCTCACTAAACATTAAGATTTTTTTCAAATAAAAAATTAGGTCTTCGTAGATAGAATCGAGGTTTAGTTCGGAAAAGAGAACGATTTAGCGCTTCCTGAAAGATTGGATCGCCAAGGAGGAGTGTAAGCATTGCACTAGATGAGAGTACTTGATAACGTAATACTCTCGGCTTGTTAGAGTGCTAAGCTCGTTCAACAATGAATTTAAATTTCATTTCTAGGTTTGGACGTTAAAAAAAGAGCTGAAATTTATGGTGTCAGTGTACCTGTCATTAGATAAAATAATTTCTTCAAAAATTTTATTATTATTTCTGACATGACTAAAATGCTATTTATATAAATATTGGTTTGTAAAAATTTCATTCGGTATTTTCATTGACGATATTATTTCGTAGATTTTTTTATGATGATTTGTAAATAAAAGTGTGTTTGGTATAAAGGGTTTAAATAATGAATAAAGGTTTTTAATAGCGTCTTACGTATCACATCGGTTTTGTTCAGTTACGATTAAGATTTTCAATAGTTTAGAGATAATTAAAAGTTTCATAATCACGTGCCTTCATCAACTGTTTATATTCATTTAGACGGTTTTATTTTTGATAGAAGATTTAATTTTTTATTTAATAGTTTTAGTTTTTATTTTAATTGTTTTTTAGATGATAATAAGATAGTTTAGATAATTATAGTGTTTATAGATAATTTTATTTTTTAATAATTTCAGAAGAATTTTTAAGAAGTTCAAAAATTGAAAAGCTTAGTGTAAGAAGTGTTTTAGTAGTATCTTGAAAAAATAATCTTATTTTCTAGATTTAAGAACGTGTTATAGTCGACCGTAAAAACAGAACATTAATTTGTTAAATAAGTTCTTCAAAGCGATTGCAATTTTCCGCAACCAGCTCTTATACTTCCAAAAGCTGATTTTCACAAGTTCACTAAATTAGCGTACACCAGGTCCTTTGTTCTCCCACTAGTCTCCTCAGTTATGAAATCAAAAATTAAAATATCTCCCTTGACTGTAAAATTTTTCCTTAATTTTCTTCATTTTTAAATTTTTTACTTTCTTTTCCAGGTAAAAGATGGCGAAGTTTAACTCCAGCTGAAAGACAACCCTATGTTCAAGAAGCAGAGCGTCTCCGACAGCAACACCAAAAAGATTATCCTCACTACAAATATCGACCTCGCAGAAGAAAGAGTACTAAACGAGCAACAACAGCGCCACCTACTAAGGGAGCACAAAACTCATCAGCTTCACAAGCAGCTGGAAGTACGGGTACACCATCACCCAGGTCCATGTATCCCAATGGCTACAATTCTTCTTACGAATCTCCAATGGTGTACACTCCTCAGCAGACTACTAATATAAACCTCAACACTATGGGTAGAATCGGATTTCAAAATCAGTCACCCAACTGCGACTTTTTTGGTGTTCAAACACCAGAATGTTCTCCAAACGGCAGTCCCGACAATGATGGAACTCTAGGAGGAAAATTCATAAAACGAGAAGCTTCTTTTGGTTTTGAGTACCCCCAAGAGAAAAATCCCAACTCCCGATTAGAAACTGTAAGAAGTTTACCAACACCGGATATGTCACCACCTCAAAATGAACAAGATTTGTGCAATCGTTTGGCCATGCAAAGAAAGGAAGTGAGTCAAGGGCGAGCCTCAAATGACACCTTGATCCAACTCATGTCTCAGTTCGGTGGAACATCAAACTACTTGAAAGACATTCGACCCCCTTATAGACTTCCTATGAGACTAGCTACCTCTACACTCCAGGCTCTCTCTGCTGCTTCAAACAATTCAGTTTACACCTTTTCTGAATCTGGACAGCCCACCCTTGTGCAATCAGTTTCTGGCGCTGATAACCAGCGTCGTGATTTTTATCACTCCTCGTCTTCCATGTCACCCACCCATAGTCCATCAACCTCGACATCCGATCGAAATAGTCCTTTTCCAACTACTAGCCATCTCTATAGTGCCCTGAGCAGATCACCAGGCTATAAGCACTTAGGCTCATACTCTTCCAATGCTATAGATTCTAGAACATTCTCATCAGTTCCACAAATTAAAGTTGAAGCTGAAGAATATAACTCCGATCCTGAACATCAGCTTCAGTTTATGCCAACCTACGGATCATCTTCATCATACCCAAACAACCCACCAAATTCCAGCTTTGGGTGCAACTACCCAACTCAGAACTCGACTGATTCCTCCTTGATCATGAACAAAAATACTCAACTTAGTGATGGAACCAGTTACAACCCAATAAATTCATCAGATGCTTCATTTACGGCCGATATCTTCGGAGATATCGATGGGAGAGAATTAGATCGATATTTGACAGGAGTTACAACTTCCTTCCCTTCATCCACCGAGTCAAACAGTGTTATGTCGGGCGCTCCGATTTCATTACGTTCTCGTTTGCAACAAGGACTTAGAAATGCGGACTATGGTGGCCAATTCCAGGATTATTCGAGACCTATGTATGGAAGTACCCTGACGGATGCTCCTTCTAGACAAAATAGCCTGCATCTTGGAACTGAAGAAGAGGGTGATACCATGACTGAAGCTTTTGCCGCCCTACGATCCATTATCAGTTAGCAAAAACCAAAGATACATAAAGAAACAGCAATAAGTATTTTTATTATTCTTGAAACTGTGATTAAATAGTTGTTGTCGAATGTTGATCAGTGCAAAGAGAACTTTATATGAACCTTATCATGATTTTTTCTTCCAGAACTGTTATATTTAAAAAGCAAGGATATTGTTTTAAGTTCAACCAAATACTTCCTAAGACAATTTGATTGATATTGTTGTAGAAATGATGATTATCATTGATTAATTTCTTCATTGACAAAGGAAAAATTGGAATTCTAGCTTATTGTTGATGTGTTTAACATTGTTGTAAATATGCAACGTAAACCTGGTGAATTCATTGCAATTGTACATATTATATCCATTCCGTGATATTCATTGTAAGTGCCTTGATTCGTTATAATTTTAGTTTATTTCTAAAATGTTCATCAATGTGCTATAGAACACTATATCACTTTTTGTTAAAATGTAATGATCTTTAAAACATATAATGTGCCTCATATATACAATTATTCTGAATGTTAATAATTAACCAGTTGCCTTATAAATGAATGATTTTTTACCACTACAAATAACTTATATGCAAAAAGAGTTCCTATTATTCCAAATATTTTATCAAAAATCCTCTTTACCCAGATGACACAATTATAAAATATGTAGGAATTAAAATAAGTTCTCTAATTTTTTTCAATTTTTTAAACTTAAAAGTGCAGTTAAATAATATTAACTATTGAATAAATTAAAGAAATAATATAAATATAACATTTTTATTTTATAAATTTTGTTTGATTTATAATAACAAATCGATACAAGTAAAAAGTAGGTAATCACTATGAATCAAATATTTTAGTTACTACGATTTTTAAACTTCAAAGAACTGTGATAGTTTTATAAAATACTTATTACGTAAAATGATTATAAAACATGGATTCAAGCAAAAGTTGTAAAAGTATCTGTCATTATAATTGAGTAGATTTAGTTTTTTCCAGTTCTTAACTCTCAAAAAACAGTTCAGGTTATTTTAATTTTGAAGAAAAAGAATCCGTAACTTTCGAGCAAGTTTATTTCATGTAAATGATTTTAATGAAAACAGTCATAGTTAACTAATAATTAACTTTTTATATACTGGTAAATATACTAGTAAACTTAAAATTCGGATTTTGTGTTCTTTTCGCTAAGACTGATTAGACATATCGATAAAAAGAATTATCTATACTATACACCAATATATATATATATTTAGAAGAGTAAACTCTTTTTTTAAAAGTACACAATTTTTATGTATTACTAAAAGAGTTATTTTTTATACAAATTTTATTTGAAAAATACATGACTGTATAAGTATTATTTTTTTGAAAATGGTTTATTTTATGAAATGTATTTGAACTATAAATTTTTATAGCACTTCTGAATGTCAAATGCAAATTCCAAACTATTCCCGGTGACTACATTCCATACACGTTGTTAAGTGAGACATTTATGTCAGATATTATTCCTTTACAAACTACAGAACCTCGATTATCCGAACCTCTTTAATCCGAATACCTCTGTTAACCATAATCGATTGCGAAATATTAACACTTTTCTCTGACGTTCTTATTTTTTTCTCAATTTCAGTAACATACTCTGACATAATAAGATTTAAAAAAATCCTTTGATCTGTACATAGAATTGATCATTCTGTATGCCTTACAAATTAACGCTTTTTATTGGTGGGTTGCTTTAGCTTTTCCAAAGAAATCAAACTTGCAATTTCCGTTATTTCACTTTTTTTGTAATTATTAGAGTAGTTTAGTCTGGTTATAATAGCTTCTTTTTTTGCTAAATGGAACCATGTTATGTTATCTGTGCTTGTAAAATTTGTAAACATAGCCTTACATAATTTTAAACAAATTAAGGAAATAAATTTCAAAAATGAATGAAATCAACTAACGATTCAGAATTAGATGCTGCTTAGTTCGAGTAGTTTATTCAAGCAGAGCTAGAAAGAGAACTGTTACTTGGGACACTAGTACAAATGTATTTGAAAATAAAATATATTTATGCCTATTTTACAAAAAGAAAATTAATACATGACACATTAAAACTAAATTTGGGTACCATATAGTATTATTACATATTCCATATAGTATTATTACATAGTATTATAACATTTATATACAGAGCGTATTGATGTAAAAAGATTTAAAAAATTGTTACTTCTATAAAACGAATATTTCGAAATGGATAATCCAAATTACTTCGGATAATCGAGGTCCTATTTTATATGGAAAAATAATTATGATTTCAATTTTTTGAAACCATATAGATTCCTATTGAACTTATAAAATGTTCAGAGAAAATTCTTTTATTTAAATATAGTGTATATTTTTAATATTCGAGAAAGTTTTTGTGCCTTCTTTCAGTTGTTGTTACATATTATATTGTCTGTGTAAATATATTTTCATGTAAAAGAACAGGGTTAAAGTAGAGAAAAAAAACCTTTGGTTATGTTTCAGTTACGTAAATGGTCATATAAAAATTTATTTTTGTAGCATATACATCATACGAACCTTTGTAAGATATTGTTGCAAAGTTATATTAAAGTATTGTTTCAATGACAAGCGTGTGGTTATTTTCGTATCCTTTAATTTTAAGCAAATAATATCATAATCTTTAACATTACTTGTAAGAAACAGGGATGGATTAATTGTGGTCTTTTCAGCTCTGGTATTACGGCAAGCCGTTGTTCATATTTAGAACTATGTTTTAACTTTATACTATTTCTCCCTTTTCTAAATAATTGCTTAACCAAAATTTTATAGATCCACCACTTAAACTAATATCTCAGCAAATTTTTAAAAAATGGTTTAAAAATCTGACAAATCCAGACTTAAGAAGGCGAGTAAGCAAAGCATCCGAACCAATTTTAAAAAAAATTGAAGTAGAAATACATTCATGAAGTTAATTATCACAAAATAACTGTTTGAGATAATGTTTATAAATGCTAATAGAGAGTTCAACTTAAAAATAGGAGTTTGATGATAAAAGTTATGTAACGTATAAATTTATGGTGAAATTATCTTATATTTAATTAAACATTTGAAAATTTACTCTTAAATGCAAACAGTAATTTAATATGTAATTCAAAACTTCACTGAAACAGCAACTAATGACAGGAAAATTATAACATTCAAATTCAAATCATAGTTTGTAAAATCAATGTCCAATATCAACCCAGTAATTGGCATTAGTTTACCCTATATGACGGTAACATTTTTATTTTTTTAACCATTTCTTTTTTACAATTTTCGCTCATTATAGAAATAGAAGAAAAAACTTTTTTACGCTTTCCCCAAGTATATAGTTTCTCGCAACATTTACTTCAATAAATGTAAAAGGATTAAAAGAAATCAATATTAATAAAAAAAATAAAAATTCTGTTAGTTAGAATGAGGTATTGTATTGCTAATAATACTTACAACAGACAGGCGAACCTGTTTTTGCGCTGTCATTTTTTGTGCGAATTCTTATTCATGCTATTTTTTTATGCGATATGTGAAGATTTCAAGCAAACTGGAACATAATTGACGAAGTTATTTAAAAAAATTGAAAGTTTTATCAGCCATATAGTTTTTTCGATTTTTGATATGTATTTCATCACTTTACATAAGTATTGTGTCAGCCAACTACATTACATATGTATTGAATTCTGTAATAGCATAATTTGATTATTGGACGTACAAGAATTTACGTGTAAATAAATAAAATGTGCAATTAGCATTGCGATTTAATTATTTCGTAGCAAAGGAAAAATTCATTTATCGCAAATAAACATTGAAAGGCATCTGCATCATGTTAGTTCGGGCTTTTTATTTAGATATAAATTTTAAGGATTTTTATTTTATTTTTAGACATGATCCCTGAAAATGAATAAGAGCAAAAACGAAAAGGAAGGTAGTTTCCTTAAAAATCTAAGACTACGATTTTAAAACAAATAGCAGAGGGTGAAGGATCCACAGCTCTTGGTGACCTACGTGAGAATTGTTTTCATGCGGTCCCTATCTATCGCATAAAAAAATACATTTTAATTGCGTTGCGAAAACTATTTTTTATAGCTACATGTGAAGTTTAGCGCAAATTTTTTATACGGTCCCTATTCATTACACAAAAAAAGGTTTGAGTGTACAAATCAAATTGAGTGTACATGCAAAAACTCAAATATAAACTTAAGTTTTCATGCATAAATCAAAGAAGAGTAGGCTCTACAAAATACGAAAAGAAAAATTACCTGTTACTTAGTAACGGCAATTCTAGTTTTGAGCTTCACATACCAAAATTTTACACTAGCAGAGTGATCCATAAAGTCAAAAAATTTAGATTGTGCGTGTGTTTTTCTCATTGGTAACTAAATATATAAATTTTGAAGCATGCAGCATAGTATATTCTATTACTTCACATAACAAAAAGCCAAAATAAAATATGCAACGAAACTTAGTTTTTTCATTTCGCATCACAATACTCAGTGCAGAAGAATGTAGCATAGGATTCAAGTAAATAATCAAGACTAAGTTTAAAGATGTTACGGTTCTAAATAAAAAGACGAGCTAAATATATTTTAATAAACTACTCCTTAAAGTTGACTAGACGTAGTAACTGGTAAACATTATAATATTTAGGCATTTACAAGCGACAAGTATACAAACTCTTCGTTAAAGTAGAACAAACTACTATCTTGCAGAGGATTGTTAAAAATAAGAAATTATTTTCACTGAAAATGATGCGGATTGAAAGAGAGAGAGAGAAAGAAACAAATAGAAACATTCCTTACCTCTAAAAAGTGCACCTAATGTGCGTAAGCTATACAGTGACAAAACACAATTGGTGTTTCTGATTAAGAGTAGGAGATAGTGGGTTCGGGCCGGATTTCAGTTGAAGATCTGGTGTTTATAGACGTGTTTAAATTCACGTGACTTGAACTTATCTCACCGTACTTTTCTTTCAATCGTTCACCAATTAATCATTTGGTTGAAGAAAGATACAAGAACGCATTGTTGCCAATTGTAACTAGAAAAAGCAAATTATTGATGAGTTGCAGCAGGGTAATTGATCTAGTTTAGCCTAACACATTGAATGTCAAAACACTAAGCTAGAAGGTTCTATAAATCGGCTGTGGCTGGAAGCTCTCTCACTACATGTTGTAAGAAATATTGAACTGTGTTGTACCATAATATCGTTTAAATGTATTGTAACCTGATTAAGACACTAGTCTGGTAAAACTTTCGACGTTATAAATTAATCTTTATTCTAGTCTTTTTTAAAAACTTGCTTACACTATACTTCGATGGCTTAATTTAACATCTTATTAAAACTGCAGCAAATTTGCATCACACTATGGTTTAAGGTATCGATATTATGGTTCAACCTACTTTTCTGAGAGTATAGTAAGATTAAAAAGTAGCAAAAATACTAGTTGAAAAAAAAAACAGACTGACAATAAGGAATACTGACTGTAGTGTGAACCTCAATTTCTGTTCCTCAGCAGTAGACTGTGTATGCTTTGGAAAAGTAGGTTTTCTCCAAGTAAAAAAATAAAA